GTAAGTGGACTACTTAAATTAGGCACCAAAAGTGCATGTGTGACTAGTTGTAACCTCCAATGTAAGGTGAGCCCTTGATGGCATGGCGTGTTCTAATATACTTGAATAAAAACATTGCAACTCCCAAGATAGGGACTTTAATTTAAAAAAAAAAAAAATATATATATATATATATATATATTTAAGCTTTTATTTTATAGTTTTTTTTTTTTTAAATTAGAATATAGATTTGAAGAATTCTAATAAAAGTATTTTTGAAATATAAGTTAAGATCAATAATATAATCTTTATAGTTATGAAAATATGTAATATATTTAAAAATGTTTTTGTAAATAAGAATTTCTATTCCAGCTTAATATAGTTTTTTAAAAAAAATTCAAAAACTAGAGTAATTAGAATTTTGTATTTTAATATATTTAATTTTTTGTATAGAAAGATGTATTTCTAAAGATTCAAGATATTAAAAACCTGAATATTGAGTATTTTAATAAGTGATAGTTTTTTGTTAAATTGTAATAAACTGTTAATGTTTAAAGAACCTATTTTAATATCAAGAAAAGTATGTTTAATTATAGAATTAAGTAAACTAGAATTGTTATTTGTTTTTTTATTTATTATTATTATTTTTTTTAATATTAATGGTGAGGCGTTTTTTTAATTATTAATATTGGGTTGATATAGAATTTGCATATGATTTAAGTAGTATGTTATATATGTCTCATAATAAGAAAAGTATATAATTTGACAAAAGTTCTGTGTTATAGTAATAATAATTGTACTAACAAAACTAACAGATTATAAGACATCTGTAAAACTGGTTATATAAAGAAATACAAACTGGTATTGGGCAGTGCAAACTTTAGATAAATCCTTGTGATGTGACGTGGCGCATAAGAAATAACCAATCGGGATGCGTAAATTTTGATTGTCCCAAATTAGCCGACGTCAAAACAACTAGCATAGCTAGAAATAAAACATAACGCTTATCCGAATGTGCCACAAAGGTGTCTAGAGTCGATAAGATTAATTGAAATTTTAAAATAACCATTTACTCATTAATTAAGCAATGAATTAAATTATACTTATCAGTTTCATGTGCTCGTTTGCACGATATTACCGAAATTAAGCACCTCTCGAAAATAAGCACCCGTGGCCCGCACTATGCACAATTTGGCCTGCACCACATGCAAAAAAGTGTGCTTAATTTCGGAACTATACGGTATATTATTTACATGTACGTTAGAATGAATGGCAGCATTGCTAACTTCTGTCAACTTAAATATATTCAATTCCAAACTCTTGAAAAATACATGTCATAGAAGTTTGTTGTAAACATTTTAATAGTAGTTTGTGATGTAAGTTTTTTAGAATGGCTTGTTATATTTCAGATTACTATAACAGTTTGATGTATAACAATTTGTTATATTTTTTGAATATTCGAATTAATTCAAATTCATACTTAATACGAATTGATTCAAATATTCGGTTATTCGAATATTTGGTTCCAACCTCTACTCCTTACAACACCATCCCTCAACACTCTCTCAACATTATGTAATCTTTCTATTGCCTCTAAACCAGTTTCGCCCCAGTTATTGATTGCAATCATATTTGATTTCGCAGATGACACATTTATCTGATCATTATCTGCTGTTTGTGGTTTTATAGTGCTTGAAAGGTGAGAAATATCTTTATATGATGTGTGGATAATTTCGAAGTCTTCAAGCCTCTAAATAAATTGAATATGACTAAGTTATCGTGTAAATAACGGTTGTATCATTTTCCCCGCAAACTTATAATTTTGAACATCTGCACCCACTTCACTGATGCACCCTAACATTTCATTACTTTCTTATATTAACTATCACGTAACAAATATACTGCATTCAAGTGTGCGATTTGCAATTTCATCCTTTTTGATTCACGGGATCCATTCTTTTTGATTCATAAAAGGTCACTTGTTTATTAGGTTAGATGGGTTAAATCATATAGAATAGTATTAAAAAATAGGCCTTTTTTTTAATCAAAAAGAATGGATCCTAAAAATCAAAAGGAATGGGTTTGCGTATGTTTTGCGTCTTCCCAGTGGCTAAAATTTTGCTATCACGTGATCGCCGAAACTTTTTAACCTCGGATTTTTTTGGTACAAACATACTCACTTGCCGCAAATTATCAAGTTTTAAATTTGCTTCATGTACCCGAGAGCCCAATCCTAGAGATACGAATCATACTATATGTTAAAAGATATACATGTGAGAAAAGCATCTTGCGAATAAACTTACCATTAACAATTTTTTTTGGGTCTTTTCTTACCCAAGGCTCAATCTCATTATCATATATTTTGTAAAATCTTTCCAGCTGGAACGTGAGTTCTTTAGTGACTTGAGCAAGTTTGTTCAAGGTTTGCTGATTCGAATCTTGTTCGTATGCATGCTGAAACTTGTAATAAAAATTTGTTGATTTTCACCAAATTCGTTAGCAACATTCACGAATATTGCTTACCCGTTCTTGCATGCAATTCAATTCCGTTTGTAAATTATAAACCAATTGCATCTCTTTTTCCTTGCAGTTTTGAAGTGTACTGATGTCAACTTTACTGATTTCCATAAATAATAACTTAAATGTTCGATAAAACATAAATGAAATATAACTATAAGAATTCAATAAACTAACGTACCTACATATGTTACCGTTACATTTTGCATTGCCAATCATCAATTCTACGTCTCTTGGAAACAATTCAAATTGTTGATCTACAACTTTACTCATAAAGTCACAATCTGTGGCTAAACCATCCATTAAAGAACAAGATTTCACTAATTCATCCGATTTGCTATGCATCAATGATATGAATGGTCAGTCTAGTATAAATTACATCGTATGTGTCAGAATATAAAATTTTACATTTCATCGTTGTTAAGCATCCGAGAAATTTTTAGTATGGAAAATAGGTTATAATAGAATTCAATTAAACGATCATGAGGTGCAGTTCCCTTTAAGAATAGAAAGTTTAGAATTATTATTATATTCCAAATTCAATCAATTATAGTATTCACCTCAATTAAATCTGTTTCCGCTGGTTTACATAATCCCATCAAAGCCACCCTTCGAACCAAATCTGTTTAAAGAAATAACGCGTAAAACAATTTTCAGCGAATATTCGAAAAATATTCTAAACCTAAAAAATACTAACTTTGAACTCTTTCTGATTGTGGTTTACTTGAACTAAACGCAAAAATCCTTTCATTATTTTGCGATGCAAAGTTTTCTAGCCTACGATCGATTCTTTGATATAAAAAGATAAGGATTTTAGTTGTACTCAAAGTTATCGATTAAACAATATAATTACTTCAGCAGCGCCCACTCAATGAAATCGCAAGAAACTTTTCTATCATTAACAACTTGGCCAAATGTAAAAGGTGAATTCACTTCTGCAAATTTTTGTATGATCATTTCTCGCGTATGCATGATAATGAAAGGGTTTGTCCTGACCCCCCAGTACGCGTACATTGCATTTACTAATTTTTCCCACAGTTCTGATTGGATATCAGATATCTCATTCTAATTGGTCAAATACTGTCACGGGATTAACCATACAGGATCTGCTATAGCACAATATGCGCATAAACTTAATTTTATTGCAATAGCATATGCGAAAGCATATTTGCATATTAGTGTAAATTTCGCATATTTAATAGAGCATAATCTGCGCATAAATAGTATAGTTTAATACTATATACTAAAAAAAAGAGCAGTGTAAAACCTGAATTATGAGCTAGTAATACCTGATATAGATCAGGTTAGAATGAAATTTGCTTTAAGTATTTATTAAGATCTATTTTTTAAATATATCGATATATAATTAAAATCGAAAGTATTGCACACGAGATATATTATTCATTCAATGCATCTAAGCAATAACGCCAAATATTAAACTTCATTAAGAATGTACAGCATACATCAGTTCAATTTTTGATATTAAGTTTAAAGATATTACAAAACACAAGATGGCGGGATTCAGCATGGATAGCGTAATGCTATTGTCTTTACTGTATTATCTATTCTTATACATAATTCAACCTGTTGATAGAGTTATTATTAGTAATTATCTGATTAGTTCTAGAATAAGGATCAATTTTACTTATCTGAATACCTTTGATTTGATCAAATTGACAATTGATACTTAAGCAATATAGAGCACATTGCAAAAGACTTGACAATATATAACCTAAAACATATGTATTGTATTACATGACTTGCTATTATATAGTTAAATATTAGAAGCCTTAAGAGTAGTAGAGATAGGTTAGTTCAAAAAAGGATTAATAGACAAATAGGCAAAGAAACTCAGATCAATAAGTTACAACTCAGACTTCTTTGAGTATGTTACAAATATAAACAGATGAAAAATTTATCAAAAAGAAGAAAGAATAAAAAGGATAAGAAAGTCAATTAAAATCAAAGAGCTCAAGTTAGTAACAAAAAGAAAAGATGCTAAGAAAAAGAAAACAAGATTAAAGTTACAGATCAAGAACTCAAAATACTAGAAAATAGAATAAAAGATCTTAGTATTATCATACTATAATATCAAATAAATCAAATTAATATAACTGAATCAGAAAAGAAATTAGTAATAGAAGATAGAAAAATAAAGAATATAGAAAACATAAATATAAAAATAATAGAATTAGAAGAAAAACTAAATAATAAAAAATATAAAGAATTCTTTTTAACAGGTACAATTGGTAATAGGAAAAATATGCATTTTATAATAATATGTATATGAATGCATATTAATATACATAAAATATAAAATATGCATGATACCACATGATAAAAAAAAATTTTTTTAAACTTATATCTTTATTATTATAATAATTCTAATAAAAATATTATATATAAATTTTTAATCAAATTTTGTCAATATATATAATTTTTTACCAATTTGTCAATATAAATTTTTTTTTTTTAACTTAAGCAGTCATGCTAGTGCTTTATTAAGATTTTGAAACTACATTTGCAATTACATAAATATCCTTAA